GTTTGCGAAATTGAATGTAACGTAGATTTTGTAAATCTTGACAAAAATGCAAGCGATGATTCAACAATAATAAGTACTGTGAGGATTTCACCATTCGTCGACGTGTTGCCAAAAAATTCTCGATTTGTGCGTATAAGAGAGGGAGATAACAATTAAACCCATTGAAAAGGTTACAATTTTAGTGATCGGGTAAACTTCCTTTTGAAAGTCGGTTCCACAGGGCAGTGGTTCGAAGGAAGATTTGTTGGTGGTTTGCTAGTATGTATGTAGCATAGCGTGTTATTGCTGTATAGGTTTGCCTCGGCGGGACGAGGGAATGAAGTTCGTTTGAGTACTTTCCGTGGAAGTAGCGGTAGAGCTGCATTATCGACAGTTTCGCCTCTGGCCAGTGTTTTTCTTGACTTTGCTTAGAGTTTCTGGAATCTAGTCTTTTTTTTTTTTACTTTACCTAAACAATCAATACATATGCAATATAGTGATGACGCTCTATTAGTATATCCGCAAAACAACATCAACCGACCTAGTAGATAAAACTAAACAAAGTCGAACCATCGATGGAATTTACTTACGAAACAAACAACACTTTACTTTTCCCCGATATCGGGTTAAACTGTACTGATAATGAACTAAATCTATATATATATATAAAGTTGCAAATTAAAAATAATAATGATTTTTTTTTATGAAAGTATTTATTTATTTATATTTGATATTTCAAATTGACCTCAATCTTTCTTCAGAAATAACTGTTTTTTTTAGAGGTTTGTTAAAATAGCGTCCGTCGCAAGATATGGAACGCCACCGTGTTCGAATATTTTTTAACGTAAATCTAACTGTAATAATATTTTAGATGTTGTTTATTTAACTATATCTAAAAAAAATGTTTAACTATTGAAATATTTATAAAGATTTAAAATACCCAAGTCTTTATTTAACCCTAGTTTATATGTATTTAATTTTAAAATCCAATATTTTCTTTTTTTTCTGCGTGTGTATGTGAAACTGAAATCAGAATCTATCAATAAACATTTACAGTTTTCTAATGAGTGTCCTGATTGATTAAAGTGTTCAGCTATGGGGAATAATGATTGTTTTGACGTATGGTTGGTTTATATATATATATATATATATATATATATATATATATATATATATATATATATCATCTGTGTATGACAGAGTTTTATAAAACTGAGTGCACATGCCGAAAGTTACTAATTATCTTCATTTACTTAAAGTACCTATCAAATCAGAAATAGGTTTTATCCTATTCTCAGTGTCTTTTGATAACCAACCATTGCGCAGTGCGTAACGTTTGTATTTACAAACCATCCCTTGTCTATGAGTTCTTCTGTCGATTCCACGCAATTATAGTCTACGGTATTAGAGTAAGTTTACACGCATTGCTGCTAGCAGTCCGTTTATTTTAATAAAAGAAATAGGTGAAGAAAGTATGTTTTGGACCAGATTCTCCCAATAGAAACCGCCTCTCTTGAACACCACAATACGAGATTTTATCAGAACTCCAGCATCGCGCATGCAGCTGCCTCAACCATAAAGTAATGTTGATGGATTTTGATGTTCGGTATTTCTAAATCCTTTCACGTTTCAATACTTAGACAGCTTAATATATAATCAATTTGAGAATGATGTTTCAATATCAGAAAATTCTTAATCTCATAAGAAACGGTGCCTCTCCTAAAGTTAAATGCTCCAAATGCTTAAGAGAAATAAATCACTGAAAGTGTTCCACATCAATTTAATTGAAATTAAAATTTAATTTACCTTTCCAACTTTTGAGTTCGCCTACCGATTAAGTAAAGCTTTCAAAAATGAGTCATGATTTTAACTGGAATCTAATATACTGTTTTAATATGAACAGATAGAAATGATTATTCAATTTAAATTCATCGAGGTTATAAAACAAATGTTCTGATTTTTGTAAATAGGTTAGCTGGTTTGAATAAATTTATATCAAAATGCATACATGTGATGGTAGGGAAAGAATGAATCATATAGAAACAAGTTTACATTCACCACCAAAAATGTCAAAAGTATTTCAGATTTTGATTTAAGTAAAGCGCAGCTAAAAGATTATATTTATTAAATTAAAATTAAAGTGTCGTGTTGCAGGTCAGTGTACGCGTTGAGATAAACAGATCTGTCTCCTGAAATGCTCATTAACATCAACATGGCAGACTCTGGTATGAGTCCACCTAAAAAATATATAAGAAACAAGAAGGACCAATATTTTATGCAAAAACAAATGATAATGTATTAACAATAAAAGGATTCATATACAATAGAAAAATATATGACATTAATGGAGAAAAAATTATTGTTTAGTAAATTGTTTGCAGCCTTTTTGTAGTTTGGTGTAGGGGAAACAAAAAAAAAGTGGAAGTGCGTGAGTACGTACATTTGGAATTTTGTGTGTGTGTGTTTAAATTGTTCACTGTGTCTCAAAAAGGGAGCGCGTTCTTCCGCGAGAAAGATACATGTTTTTGTCTATGCGGACAAAATTAAAAAGAGGACGAGAAAAGATGTTCCCAAAAGTATTTATATATCGGAAAGCATCCCTAGTAGCGGTTTCGAAAAATTAGGAGGTGGTAACCCGACAATCGTATTCAATTCAATTATATTTAAATAAATAAATATTCTCTTAACGTAATGAAAATTCTGCAAAAATTTTCTCATTGAGAAAGCCTTTAATTATTATATATTCTCTGCACGAGTAATCTAGGATTTTTGTCAATAGATATTCTTATATATTTTTTTTTTTTTTTTTTTTTTTTTTTTTTTTTAAGCGTTTATATTAAGCAAGGCGGGAAGCCATTAGCATTAAGGAGTTGCAGAGATTATATTAAGCAAATAGGATGATAGATTAAATATTGAAAAGAAGAATAATATTAAATTAGGCATTTGGAGATGTTGATTGAATTACATTTGAATATATGGAGATTATAGCTATCATGGAAACAGGAAAATTATATATTTTTAGCGAAATTTTTTATATAATATTATTCTATGATTTTTGTATATTATACAGTGCATTGTATCCAAACGTAATTAAATAATTTTCTAAAGATTATTGATTTTATATATTATATTAGATTTTTTTTTTTTCGAATATTGCCGGAGATTTCAAATATTTATTTAATAAAATTCTTGAACATTCAAGCCGGCAGACGAAAATAAATATACTGTTTAATAAATAAACGGAGCGTATTCTACTGAATACGGGTATTCTATTAAAAATAACGTTTAAGATATATATTAGTGAGAGAGCACTATTTGACATTTATTGAATTTGAATATATCTCCATATAAAAAATGACAAACGCATGTATATATCCTGAAAATACTGTTTCTTGCGCAAAATTATCTCAGTTCTGATTTAGGCAATACATACATTCATAAAATGAATACCCAACACTTCTGTGACCAAGATGTTTCGGTGGCTTAACTCTGGTAATGACGTCTTCCACCAACAGAATCATGAACCCAACGTGAAAGTGTTCGTTATTTGGCGAACCAATAACGAACTACCAATTTTCTAACGATCGTTTAACAAAATATACATATAAAAATTATTTTTTTTGAAAATTATTTAGTAGCAAAAATATTTTGAATAATGGTTTAAATGATGCAACACTTTGTGTTATTGTTAGTTAAAAAAGTTCCGTGATATGGAAAAAGATCAAAACGACAATGGAATTATTTCATCCCAACGTGTCTATCCTGAAGCGTATTTTCTTTTGCATCAAACTGAATTTCAAGAAATTACATTTCTTTTTAAGAATCGATAATGTATGTTCA